TTAGTTTAGCAAAATCACCCAACCTTCTTTGCAAGGCTCTCATCTTAATTTTTAAAAGCTGTTTTAATGCCAATATAGGAGAAGTAAGAAAGTTAACATGAGGGATCTGATTCCACAGCCTGTAAGTGGAAAAAATCAGAAAGAGAAGAAATGGGGTCTTTGGGGATGCTAAGCCACATAGTGAGAAAGAGGGGCATCTACTTGTCAGAGGGAGCAGAATCAATAAAGAAGTCAGAACTGGACACCTGTAGGAAATGAAACTTTTCAATTAGGGGAGATATAAAAGGCTTTGATAAGTCTTTTTTATGTAAGGTATAAAAGACTGATATAAAAGCTTGGCATTCAGACAAATCAGCCATCAACAGAACTTAGAGATAAACTACATTTACACACCATTCAAAAGAGACAATAAAAAAGCTAAGAAGGGAACAAAAGATCAGAACACATTCTCTTCAACAACCAACACTTAGATAAGCAGAGATTAACAACAGACAAATAATCAAGCAGAAAACAGTACCCTAATCAAAGAACTATCAAGGAGAAAATACACACACACACACACACACATACACACACACTAACTGGCAGGATAAACTAGTGTATGTAAACGGAGCAAATCCCACACTCAATAGCACCAAGGATCCCACAGTTCTGCCCTGAGCTATATATATTTCTTTCTGTTGAAAAGACTTTGAAACTATGGGTGTAGTCTCAGGCATAGACAGGAGTCCATAGACAGAGAGACAGTCACAAACACACACACACACACACACAGAGAGAGAGAGAGAGGGGGGGGGGAAGGCTTAGCTTGGAGTTATGGTTGGAAAGAATAAGAAATTAACTTGGAAGCCAAACAAAGAGAAAGGGAGTAAGGACGATTTTGAGTCAGTCAGAGATAAAGGAAAAAAGCACAAGAGGAGGGAAAGAGAGGCAGTTTGCTTAGATCTAGAAGATGGACTGGCAGTTTCATCAGAGAGGGAGTGATCCTGTGGATCAGGAGGGGAAGGTTTAGAGAACTGAGAAGAAACAGATCGAATTCAGAAGGAGGATATCCAGGCTGAGAAGAAAATTAGTGAACAAAAGTAGGAAGGTATATGAGATTTACAGACATTTTTGCTGTAGGCATTGTTTGCAAGAATTGGAGAAAATTGATTTAATTATTACTGTCCTCTTGAAATGTACTGTATGTTTAAAGAGAGTATTCTGAGAAAGTTTCCATCCCACTGATTTAAATAGTTTACTGACTGAAAATTATTCTTGTACCTGCCTAATACCGTCTATATATCTGCATGGTTACTGTTTTTCTCATTAAAGAATGAAGTTGCTTTTAACTGACCATAACTAGAGATCTTTTTTTTTTATTGGATGATCCAGGAGGGAGAGAGGAAAGCACCTCTTAGATGCTCCTTGAAGGCTTGGCTGCAGGCCAGTAAAAGAATGACCAATAAAAGAGTGCCAGAATTGGTCTCCAGCTGGTCCTCACTGCTCCACTGCCTGACTCTTTCGGGGGTTGTTGTGTGTGTGAAATAAAAGCCTTTAAGAACTGCCTAAAGTCTAGTGCAAGACCATGTTTGAGTCAAATAACTGAAAGGTGGGAATTTGAAAGACCTTCGGCCAATGGTAAACTGGCCATCTTGGAGCTTAAACTGCTGAGTTCCAGTGTCACAAACCACAAAAATGAGGTTTTGGAATTTGAGCTTGTCATTACTCAGCCAAAAGTAAATCAGCTGAATTTAGCTGTAGGATTTTGAGTGTAGGAATAATCTAGGAAAAACATCAAGCCCCATACAAAATTACTTTCAAGTCAAAAATCACTAAAATTGGTTCATTAAAACATCAAGAATTTATAAAGAGAAAGAAATGATAATGATTTTTTTAGCTATTGCTGAAACATGGGCAAAGTAGACCATAACTGTGGTGTCTGATATATAATATAAAATAACAATAGTGGTTATTTTTCTGATATTTAATCACAGAAAGTAAAACAGCTGAATTATATTCCATACAAATAAGTTGAGAAAAACAGAGCAGAATAAAACTTGAAGGCCCTTCCTCACAATACATTCTTATTTTTTTTCATCCTTTGTAAGCAATAATTAGACAACTTTTTAGATTTTACCATCCATGAGCTAATGCATATTTGCCTCAAAGTTTTATTTCTCAATGTAAATGTGAGCATCATTTTGTATCTCCTCCATTCAGTTAATCTATTAATAATTTGTTCTAATTTAAATGGTTTTTCCACTTTGATATATTCAACTTACAGTATTCTATTTCAAAATCTTTATTTGCATTCTATAAAACAAATGTAACTTTTAGCTCATAAAGAGCCTTATAATGAAAGATAGTGGGTCATTGGCAATTTATGGAGTGTTTTACATTCTATTTCAGCTTTTTCCATTTAGTTTGTGGTATCTGCTGACTTCTGCAAGGGCCCTCTGGAGCCCTGAAAGTAATTCCAGTGCATTCTACTTGTTTGGGTCAGTGTGTTATAGCTATCCAAACTCACTTTTCTACATTTTATTTATTTCTACCCAGAGTAGTGGGGTCAAGAAAGAGCAAATGTCTACTTTCCCAATGAACTTGTATGGCTGAAAGCAGACTTGTATCTGAGTCTTCAACACAGACCTTGGCCAGGTCTCTGAATATGCACATGCTTCCAGATTTGTCTGGATGGCATTTCTGAAAGGATACAAATGCAAATCCTGAAACAAGTCTCCCAAGAATCAAAATGATGATCCCATTAAAAAGGTGAAACTAGAATTAAGCAGATCATTTTAGAATAGCAGTAAGATTTAAATGATTATTCAACAGAGTACAAGCATTGCCAAGACTAGTCCATTGCTGGCTGTCTCCATTCAGCACACACCAGCATTTACGATAAGAGGAGCACTATAATAATAAAGCAATGTATAAAAGTATATTCTTCTCACAAATTGCTTTTTTGCTTGTAGTGATAGGAGCCCAGATGGTGCCTTAACCAGTTTAGCAATTTTAGATTCAGCTGTAACTCTGCTGCTGAATGTGCACCTCTAAGAATAAATTCCAATCAAAGGCTGTGTGTGTGTGTGTGTGTGTGTGTGTGTACGCCTGCATGCATACTTGCGTGCATGTATGTGTGATATATGTGTATTTAATAGGTTGTTAGTAATAAAGAAAGTGCTGTTGCAGTGACAAAATGACAAAAGTCACTTCCACCTAACATCTGGATCTTAAGATGAAATTGCTTTACTTTGTATAGAACCCTGCGCTTAAAATATTAAAGCAATAGCACAATGTAATAAATCAGATTGAGTAATATTGCTTAACTGTTTTGCTTAAATATTTTCTGTAGGTTTCAGCTTGCCAAGAAACATTCAGTTATTTAGCAAAATAGAAGTTAAACAGATTAGACAAAGGGCAAGAGGTTGCTTGTAGTATACAGTACACTAAGCCACAGAACTTCATCTCTATCTTAAGTAACTACAATGGCAAATGATACCCATATGAACTGGCATGAGACTGTGTTGAATTCAAGCATCCCCTGGCCAGATCATGCGCAAGAGGGCAATGTTTTCAGGACATTCCTTGAATTTATTAAAAGGATTTAGGATCACCTTCAGCCAGGAAGCTCTAAACTGGCTGGGGTTTAGCTCTGGTCTAACAAGGATGCTTTCTTGACCTTCCCCTTGACCACCACTTTCTGGCTCTTTTGCTGACATTGTTCAGTTCTGCTGGCAAAGCTTTCCAGCAGATTAAGTCAGTTGTCAGGAATTGCTTGTAAATCAGCAGAACATCTCAGCTGGAAGAAGTGAGGTGGGTCTACTTTTAATCTGTATTGAGTAAACAGGATGGCCTTAAAAAGACAGAGGGAAGATCTGCTCCTGAGAAATAAAGCTTGAGCCCAGATCAAAAAAGTGGTTTACGAGAACACTTCAGACAGCTTTCCTTCCCATATTCTCATACTAGGAGGGAGAAAGGGAAGCACAGTCAGACCGGCAAGATTCTGTTACTATAGCTGTTCTAATAAAAATAACTTTAAAAAAAAATAGAGAACAGGAAGACTTGAAGTCTTGTCTCTCTGATAGACCAGTCAGTCCACTTTTTAAAAAGCCCAATAATAAAAAATATCCCTGTCCCTGAAATGGGAGGGGGGGGGCAAACAGTCTTGTCAGGGTTGAGCCCGTTTTTCCATCCCATCCAAACACTTTCAGGCCACTGAGCCACATGAATGAATGAATGAATGAATGAATGAATTTCCCTTCTCACTCTAAAATCTGTACCTCTGACAATTTCCTTTAGGAAAATAGGATTTAATCTGAACAAAAGCTCTCCCCCAGATCTGATTTCTGTTTTTTTTTTATCCTGGCTCAGAACGTGCTAAGAGTTCACTTGGAACAGACGCACAGAACAGTTTTGAACACTGAACTCTGCCTTCCTTCCTCCCCTCCACCTCCGGGGGGGGGGGAAAGGACCCAATATTATAATTAGCCGTTGGTTGGGGGGGGAGGGGGCTTTCTTCCA